TTGAACGACATTGTTATGATTATATTTTGAGGCAGAGAATCATATATTTTAATAACACTATTGTTCTGCCGTGGGCAGAGATGTCCGACCGTAAGTCGAGTGTTTGATGTTGGATCTATAGCTTTCTCTCTGGATACCTATGGATTAGGTATCTTGGGGACAACAAATCACTACACACAATACGATGGTCTTAGCCTGAGGGGGTGTGTGTGCTGTCATGTTTGAAAGAAATAGGGTTAGAGAGATCAGCCATACATGTGGTCTTTAGCCCCTATTTATAGAGCTTACCTTTGAGCTTATGTAGGTTGGGCTTCTTGCTGTCGTGGGTCTTTCCCTAGTCCATAACAACTATAATACACTTAATGGGGAAGTCTGAGATTGACATGTTGTAGTTTTGTTAGTTGCATATCCTGCTAGAATATATTATTTTAGTAAAGTATATAATTATATTTTATAATCTGAGTTGCTACTGAAAATTTTATCGTCTGAATGTACTATTAATATTTGTATGTTATCTAGTTTCACTTGATTATAGTTTTCATTATTTGTGCACTGGGTTGCATTGCAACTCGCTCATATCGTGACTATATATTTTCGCATAAAAGCAAGGATATTGTATTATTTGTACAAATAGATTGTGGAAGTGTTATTATGTGTTCACTCGTTCAATTTGATCAGAAAGTGTTATTACTTCTTAATAGTTTGTCTGACACTTTGTTCATATGGGCAAAAGTTAAAAAAAAGTTATTATTATTGAAATTTTATTATGTTCTAGAGTTGTTCCATTATTTCTACAAGTAGATTGTGTTATAAACTTATAAACCTTATTTATATTATAATTTAAATGATTTACACTGTTGTGCTTATTAGGCTTGTGAGCCTATTTGACGATAGTTTGTTCCTAAAAAGTGTATTCATTTTTATAATTAATGAAGTGTATTCTTAGATGTTCCTAAAAATTTAGGATGCCAAAGAGCTTTCTAGTATGAATTGTAATTATCATAATCATTTTTTAAGGATATCTTTTAAATATTTGAAAAGTTAAAGTGAGAAGGATCTATACTCTTTTAGATATTTTCTAATAATTTTCCTGCATCTCCACAATCACATGCTAGTGAGATAAAAAACAGTGTTTATTAGGGATAAGTGTTTGATATAATAGCAACCAGTTTGTTAAAAGAAGCATAAGATGGTTCTATCATCATTAGATATGAAACTTAAAGGGCTTTCCAAGCTTTGTTAGAACAAATGTAACAGTTGTCGCAGTTGGTGAGTTCCCCATAAAACAAAGTTATATCCGGATACAATATTTGATCCAAGAAGTTGCTCTTGTTCTTATCCTTGATGTGCTTCTGTCTACTATTTATTTTAATTTTTATATTTGTATTATGAAGCTGTGAAATTTCAGCTAAAAATAGTATATGGAGGGAATTTATTGGCATTTTTTTGACTGCTCCACTGTTTGGTTGGTCAGAAATTGCATGCAAAGAAAGTCGAGTCTTTTTTTAGTTGCTTCTTGTTAGCTCCCTTCACATAGTGTCTCATGCTAGTGAGCTTCAATTCACTTCATTCTTATAATGAAGTGCATTCTTACATGTTCCTTTTTACTCGTTTGAAAAAAGTTAGGATGCCAATGACCTTTCTAATATGGATTGTAATTATCATAATATTTTCTAAAGACTTTTTTTAAATATTTTAAAAGTTAAAATGAGAAGGATCTATAATCCTTTAGATATTTTTTAATAATTTGGCGGCATCTCCACCATCATATACTAGTCTATAAATAAGTGGAGTCTCCATCAACATCTTTACTGTTGTGCAATTACAACTGCGTAATAGTTATAATTTATTGAATTATATCAAATATTATTTAATTAATTTCAAATAAATAATTAGTCGTTAGATGAATAGAAATTAATGATTAAAATGAGAAATAAGACTTTTATATATATATATATATATATATATATATATATATATATATATATATATATGGATTATCTTTCTCTAGATGAAACTCAAGGGGGAGAAAAGGATAACTAGACTAATTGACTATTTTATCCCTATTTTAAAATCAATTTATTATTTTGTCTATTTTCTCAAACTATATATCAATATCCCCTGTTTGACAAAACCTTGACCAAAACTGGTTTTTAACCACGTTCAAAACTGTAGTTGGTTTTTTGAAAACCGAGGCTAATATAAATGATGATATATATTGATCATATATTTTTTTAAAAATATTTTGAGATATATTATAATAGTATTTTCTCACACTAGAATTCTATAAAATGTAAAAGCATCATTGCTTCTCAATATGGGGATGTTATTTTTACAACTAACATGTTAATATGTTACATCTACCAATATCAATTAGTATTTGTTTTGCACTAATAATTTGTATATACATGACTTATTATCAATTTTCGTGATTTAAAATTTTAATTATTTCCGCTGTCATTAAAAGATGATTAGATTTGTTTATAACTTATTACTTCTTCTTTTTATACAGGAAAAAATTATTACTACTAATTTTTCCTAAATATTTAAGTGGAGTTCTATTTTCATGTATTTATTCTTAAATGGAATTAATATATTGTATATCTATTTAACAATAATCCAAATAAAATATACTTTTATCAATTTCAGATTTTTTAAATTTTTTAGCAACTTAATTATGTATTTTTTTTTTACAAAATTTAGTATTTCAAATTATATGAGACATTTTTTTTGGATAACATTATATGAGACATTATACCTACTTGACTAATGCAAAACAAAATTAGTATATTAAGGAGGAGATGAGAGAATATGCAGCCCGTGAAATATACAACCTTTAGTATTATTATTACTTTAAAAATATTATTTAGTATTAATTAATTGAGCTGCCGACTTTTATCCTTCGTTTTCTTTTTCAAAGGTTTCCCAACTAGTTTGGGATAGATGTGATATTGATGCTGATTTTGTTTCTTTTTCAAAAGTAGTGGGGATTTATATTAGCCATGGTACTTCGTCATGTTAGCTACGTTTTTGAATGTGGCTAAAAGTCATTTTTTATAATGATTTGGTAAAATTTTGATCAAATAGGAGCAAATTGATGTATAATTTAAAAAGAGTGATAGATTGGTATATAATTTGAGAAAATGAACAAAATAATAAATTAATTTTAAAAGAGTAGTAAAATGGTCGATTAGCCGAATAACTAAGAGCCTGTTTGGATCCTCTTATTTTTAAGCTAGAAACTACTTATAAGCTAAAGCTAAAAAAAAGAGCTTAAAAAAATAAGCTAAAAGCTGTTTGGAAATTACATAAAAGTTTTAGCTTAAAAATTACTTAAAAGCACATATTTCAAGAAAATTATCTTTTTCTATCTTTTTCTATCTTTATCACTCTTCATTTTTAAAAAAAAAGCACACAATTCAAGAAAAACAGATAAGAGCTTAAAAAAAAGCTCCTCCTAGGAGCTTTTAGTTTTCAGCTTTTTTCTTCATTATAAAAAGAAGAGCTTTTCGTTATAAGAGCTTTTCCCAAAACCTGTTTGGCCTAGCTTATGCTTATAAGTAGCTTGTAGCTTAAAAAAGAGAGGATCCAAACAGGCACTAAGTCCTATAATCTATTTTGTTTAACTTGCTATGTAATCGGAATTCTTGGTAAGATTACTTTGATCTTACGGGAGAAAAACACATTCCATATATCATGCAGGATATAAATGCAAATTATGTAACATAGTTTAGAATCGAGGCCAGAATCGAAGTTCTGCAGTTTCTATATATTGAAATATTTGCATGAAAACATCTCATTCTGCAAATTGTAAATGCAATTCAATATTCAAAGTACAAACTCTTCAGTTTAAATATACATAGGGAAATTTTGGTCATAATTAATTTGCTTTCATCTCATTCCATCAATTGATTTTTTTTCATGAAATTTAAAAATAGAAACCGCACCAAAGTATGAAAGCCAGGATTTTTTCAGAAAATGGATTCCTATTCTAAGGGTGCATATATATAACCGCATGGATAAACTCATACTAACCCATCAGTTTCTGAATTTTCTTTTCTTTGGAAGGCATCAGGAAGGAATTGGGATGTAAAAACCTCGATTCAATTGAAATTTGGTTATTCACTATTAAGCTCGCACTAATCCATCAATTTCGAGATTTTCTTTATTTTACCTGGAGGTATTGGGAAGAAATTGGATTATAAGAATATCGATTCAATTGAAATTTGATTATTTATCATATACGAAGATCTCCACTAAGCAACCATGGCTATTTACAAATTTTTTTTTGAATTGTAATAATAAAACAAATAGAAATATCTGACGAAGAAATAAGCAAAGTTCCATGGTTAAATGATAAATGGGAAAGTTAATATAACTTGCAGGATGGATGTTTTCATGTCATTTAATATATTGAAACTAAAGAGCTTCAACTTTTGAGTGTTAAATTGCATTTATAACTTGAACGATGGGATACAGTAAGCTTGCGTTGTGGAGTGTGGACGCACCACACTCCTAAAAAACCTTAATTCATTTACTCCACCAAATTTAACTTTTTATTAATAATGCTACATGAATTCCATTTATTTAATATAAGGGTGTGTATATGTACTACTCGCATAAGCGTACGTGGAAAATAGTTTACACACATGTCATATATAATTGCATGTATTTTTAATATTCTTTAGTAAATTGCTTTTTATTTACTATTTAGAAAAACTCATGTACAAGTGCTACTTCTAAATTAAATTGGACGAAACTTTTAGTTTGGCACTTTCGGTCACTCAATCTTCAATGTAAAAAAAGCTTAAACAAATTTATGGTTTACCAACCGCTAGAGGAAAAAGTCCACCTCTCCCTAATACACTTTTTTATATATAAACCTTGTCCCTTCCTCTATTCACCTCAACTTCAACTCGTAATAAAATAACACTCCTTGATCCTAACTCTTCTAAGTCATTGGAATCACAATTACCTTACAAACAATGAACACAAAAGCAATGCAAGTTGTGCCATATTTGCTCTTCCTACTTGTCTGTATTGCTAATGGCACCTATGGACAATGGGGTGCTTGGCAGAATGCACGTGCCACATTTTATGGTGGCCCTAATGCTTCTGGCACTAAGGGTAACTTATTATCTCTCACTTTCTATGTCTTCATTAATCTTTTGCATATGAATGCACAATTTCTAACAAAGATTATTATTTTACATAATTATTTTATTATATGCATGTGAATAGGGGGAGCATGTGGATATGGAGACTTGTTTAGCTATGGCTATGGAATTTACACAACAGCTTTAAGCACTCCCCTTTACAATGGTGGCCTTAGTTGTGGGGCATGTTATGAGGTTGCTTGTCACAATGACCAACAACATTGCCTCCCTGGCTCCGTCATTGTTACTGCAACAAATTTGTGTCCCCCTGGTGGATGGTGCAACCCGCCATTGCTTCATTTTGATTTATCCCAACCAGCTTTCGAAAAGATTGGTCGAGATATAGCTGGAGTTATTCCTGTGCAATTCAGAAGGTAATCAATTAACTATATATACGCATATGAGTTTGATTTAATAATGAATTTATGTTATGATTGTAGCATTAATGTATTACAATTGTAGCATTAATAATTGTTAGCATTGATGATTGTTACGATAGAAACATTAATGCTACAATCGTAATTAATAATTTCTCATAAAAGTTAAGGATATAGTGTTTTCTAATTTATTTATTTTTTTGGACTTGGTGTAGGGTGACATGTACGAGGAAAGGAGGGATAAGGTTCACTATAACTGGGAATTCACATTTCAATTTGGTGTTGATAACAAATGTGGGTGGGGCAGGAGATGTTAAAGCAGTATCAATTAAAGGGTCAGCAACTGGGTGGATACAAATGAATAGAAACTGGGGCCAGAATTGGGTGTGCAACTCATATCTCATTGGACAGAGCTTGTCTTTCATGGTCACAACCAGTGATGGTCGATCAGTTACTAGTTTTAACGTTGTGCCCGTAGGTTGGCAATTTGGACGAACTTATGAAGGTCGCCAATTTTGAAGTTTGTCTTCTTCGTTATAAAATTATATTCAGAATGTTAATTAGGCTTTAAAATGAGAAATGTTTATCCAAATTAGTAAATAAAAAGCTTATCTTAAAAATATTGAAAGTGCAATGAGACAGTCTTGTTTACAAAACATTATTCCATGTGGTGTCCAAAATGGCCTCACCTAATTAAAAATATAATTTATTAAAGGAAAAAGTGTGTATCATTTTAAAAGATGTAAAGTTGTGTTATTTTAAATGAGAGAAAGAGATATATAAAGGAGGAGAGAGTGTACAAAAAATTATAAAAGTGTGGGTCCCACCTCTTTGTGAGAGTAAAAGGATATGAGTTGTGTCATTTAAAAGGACAAATATTTTTTCCTTTATTAAATGAATATTCTTTGATAATGTGTTACTCCACGTGACATCTGATATCTTATAAGATGCCAAGTGTACTAGCACATTAGTACTAAATTTGACACAATTTCTTTCACTTTCTTGATAGTTAATTGGGAAATGTGTTTATCTTTTTACATAACACAACTTATATTATTTCACTCTCACAAAGAGGTGGGACCTATATCTTTTTTTTTTTTGTCAATTATCTCTCCTTCTTATCTATCTTTTTCTTTTTCTTTTTCTTAAAATGACATAATTTTATATCTTTTAAAATGACACATACTTTACCCATTTTGCCATCAATTCACCGATGTTACTATTAATTTAACGTCACCGTTGATTTTCCATTTGCTCATTTGTGTTACTCTCACTCCCAGCAACTTTCACCCTCACATATTGAAACCATGGCCATTGGCCACCACCAACAAGAAAATCTTTAACTACTTTAATGAGAAATAGTCTAAGACTCCGATCAAGCTCCACCCGCTTATTGCGGCATTATTATTATTATTTTAAACAAGGGAAATAAAAGGAAATAGATGTATCATGTTGTAGGAAATTGATTGTGTCATGATATAAACACAACTAATGTGGATCCCACCATTTTTAAAATAAAAAGAAAAGAAAAGAAAGTGATGGGATCTATATTAATTGTATCTATAACATTACAGAACTAATTTCCTATAACATGATACATCTATTTCTCAAAAATAAATTAGGTTGCCGCATTAATTTAGAAACCCAAGAATCCAAGTGTTATTTAAAATATAATAAGTTGTTTTGTACACGTTGACATATCACATGTGAAAACACTATTTTAAGTGATGCCTTACATGGAATAAATATTCAGCACTTAATATTACTTACCTAACTACTGCACATATATGGGATATGTGAGGGTGTTAGCGGTCTGGATTAGATCAGTTTTGGAAGCAAAAATTATCAGATCCAATTTCTTCGGTTTGATCATATAATCATCCATTTGGTTTTGATTTTTTTTCAAATCCGATCCGATCCAATCCAATTTTTTTCGGTTTGAATTGGATCGGTTTTCAGTTTTTTAAAAATCTTAAAATTTATTTCATGATTATTGTCCAAATAACATCTTTTGTATATATTGGCTTTGTAAAAAAAAAAAATTGAAATACAAAAGCATTAGTAAACTATAATATAATTTTTTTAATTTTGGCAATGAGATATGAAGCTCTACAAAGATAAAATTTTGTTGATGAGATATGACTAGATTTTTTCTTGGGTTTAGTTGATGGGTTAATGGGTCTTGAGTTTAGAAATTTTTAGGTTATGATTAGAGAAATATCCAAGTAGGTAAAGGAAAATTAATATATTGGATCAATTTGGATTGGATCGGTTTTCATCAACCCATCCAAAAACCGATCCAATCCAATTAAAATTTGCGGTTTTTAATCGGTTTTTCGATTTATTCGGTTATCGGTTTTTCGGTTCGGTCACCGCGGTTTGAATCGGTTTGGATCGGTTGATGAACACCCCTATATGTGACTCTTTTTGTCAAATTTCTCCACTATAATTATTAAAGAGGATATTTTAACCGTAAAGAATCAATTCCACCAAAAAATTTAAACTATTAAGTGAGGCTATTCAAAAGTTTAAACTGTTAGCTGAGTCTATATATTTATGATTTTATATTTATTTAAGTACACACTCCTCACTTGGGCTCGAAGGATGAATGATTTTATTTTTTTTGGAAACATTGAAGGATGAATGATGCATTAGGCAAACTCATGACCAATCATGTCACATTTGATATTATGTAAAAAATTAATTTTACCCAAAAACTTAAGACATTAGGTGAGTCTACATTAGTAATTTTATAATTTTCTAACGTTAACAACCAAGTTTTGAGCTTTTGGATTGCATGCACCCAATTACTCTGAACAAATTTCAATTTTTTTTTTGGTAATCTAATTTCAATTTTATTGTTATTGTTATAATGTTTGTAGTATATACTATGCGTTTTATAATTCTCATTTAACATGAGGATTACAATTTTCCTACGCATCCTTCGATTTTTGTGCTGACATGGGTCCTACATATAATTTTTTCTAACACATGGGTCTCACATGCTTTTTATCTCTACAACATGAGATTTCAATTCTCCTTCAACATGATAATTATAAAACCCATATACTATATATACAAGAGATTTTCTTAAATAATAAATAATAATAATAATAATTCACCTAAAAATTATTGAAAAAAAAAAGGATTATTTTGTATACATGATCATGCCATATATTGCAAAATTTTATTCCACGTTGTTAATCTTGGATGAGGCAACGTGTTCCACTACTTTGCACGGGCGCTAATCGAAGAAAACTGAAGTATGAGTACTAATTGAATTTGTATTCATTATATTATAGTTCCTTAATTAAGCTGACAACTGAATTAAATTTTTTGATGGCATTTAATGTATAAATTAAAATTGAAGAGTTTCTACTTTGAGTGTTAAATTGCATTTATAATTTGCAGGATGGGATGTTTTAATGCCATTCAATATATATATGTAGAAACTGAAGAACTTAAACTTTGGGCTCGACTTCAAATGTTAAATTGCATTTATATCTTGCAGGATGGGATACGCTTTTCTCTCCAGTAAGCTTGTGTTGCGACTGCACCACACTCCTTTTTTCTAGAAACAAAATTGAAAAGTTAAGTGAAAGTCATTTTATAAGTAGCTTCAATATACATTAATTTCATCCATTCATGTTGATTAATCAATCCATAAATATATTCTGATAATTATTGTGTATATCTGCAGAAGATCGGGCTTAAATAGCTCACGTGTCCAATAATGGTTAATGTGTCTCCATTAATTAATGATGTGGCAGCAGCTTAATTTTTTTATTTTTAATTATGAGAGGTGTGCATAAAATACGTTTTGTAAATCTGACAAATACAAAATAACTCCATTTATAAAAAAAATTCTTTTTAATATTTTTTTAGTTTATTTATTTTTGTATTTACTATTTAGGAAAAACTTTGGTAATTATAACGTTGTTGGGTGCTAATTATATACTAATAAAATTGACAATGTTAATTCCAAGAGGTGACACAGCTGGAAGTGAGTTGTGTCTAATAAGTGAATTGTTGGGGCTGAAATGTTCTTGATTCGAATCCTAGGCGAAATAACTTTAAACCGGTGTGGATTAATCTCATTCGAAGGAGTGGGAATACCCCTAAAAAACATTCATAATATTTGATTAGAATTGCAAACTTTGGAGTTTACCAATCCCTATAGCTATAGAGTGAAAAGTCCACATCTCCCCTCATTTTCATTTCATTACATTGTGCTCTTAATACACTTCTATATAAAGCTTTTACCTCCCTCTACTCACCTCAACCTCAACTCACATTGAAATAGCACCCCTTGATCCTAACTCTTCTAATTTGTTGAAAACATAAGAGTTACTTTAAAAACCATGCAAACAAAAGGAATAGTAGTTGTGCCATATTTGCTTTTCCTACTTGTTTGTATTACTAATGGCACCTATGGGCAATGGGGTGGCTGGCAGAGTGCACATGCCACATTTTATGGTGGTCGTGATGGTTCTGGCACTATGGGTAACTTATCTCTCACTTTCTATTTCCTTTTTTTTTTTCATATGAATGCATAAATTCTAATTATATTATATACATATGAATATAGGGGGAGCATGTGGATATGGAAACTTAATTGACCAAGGCTATGGAATTTACACAACAGCATTAAGCACTGCCCTTTTCAATGGTGGCTATAGTTGTGGGGCATGTTACCAATTGATGTGCCACAATGACCCACAATGGTGCCTCTCTGGCGCCATCACTGTTACTGCAACAAACTATTGTCCATCTAATGCTTCGTCCCATGAAAATGGACCAGGATGGTGCAATCCCCCATTGCAACATTTTGATTTATCAGTGCCAGCTTTCGAAAAGATTGGCCAATATAAAGCTGGAATAATTCCTGTGCTCTTCAGAAGGTAACCAATTAAATTACCTATACTCTTAAGAGTTTAATAATGAAATTCTCATAAAAGTTTAGGATATAGAGTTTTCTAATGTGTTTTTTTTTTTGGACTTGGTGTAGGGTTACATGTGTGAGGCAAGGAGGGATAAGGTTCACCATAAAAGGGAATGCAAACTTCTATTTGGTGTTGGTAACAAATGTGGCAGGGGCTGGTGATGTTAAAGCAGTATCAATAAAAGGGTCAAATACAGGGTGGATACAAATGAGTAGAAATTGGGGGCAGAATTGGCAGAGCAACTCATACCTCATTGGACAAAGCTTGTCTTTTATGGTCACAACCAGTGATGGTAGATCAGTTACTAGTTTCAATGTGGTGCCCCAAGGTTGGCAATTTGGACGAACTTATGAAGGTCGTCAATTTTGAAGTTTGTCTCTTTTATTCTAAAATTGTTCACAATGTTACTTAGGCTTCTAAAATGTGGGGTGTTTTAAAACAATATTTTACGTGATGCTTTGCATCGCGTCACGTGGAATAACGCATCTCACTTGAATAAAAAAAAAAATTAAGAAGCAATTGACTGCATGGCAGCGTGTGATATATAAATCATACTTGAAGGATGTGATAAGAGCCGAGCAAACGGGCAAAATTATAAGAGCGGCAAGGACACTATAAAAAAAAGAAAAAACTACTCTTATGCTACATGTGATAAGTTTCTCTTTTACACACCCTTTGATAACTGTGTTATCTTTTTCTTTTCTTTTCTTTTTTATTTTTCAAGTAGTGGAGCCCACAAGTTTATCTCTATGACATAAGATAACTTATCTCCTTTAATATGAGATTAATAAAACCCATAAAAAAATCATCTTTTAATCTTAAAAAATGTGCTCCCCTCCAATCAAAGTCGCTATATCAACAAGCTGAGACGTTTTTACGTCATCCAATGGCAACACATGTCCATTAGCAGGCTGAGGTCTCATTCGTTAACGGAATTAAACATAAAGAAACAAAAAACAAAAATGCAAATCTATTATTTGAGAAATATCTGAAATAAAAAAGAATTATCTTGCTATTTTTTGTTATTTTTGAACTTGAAAAAGCTACAGAATTCACGCAGAACTTTGTAAGCAACAACTTGCCCAACTCTGTAATGAAGAAAAAATGTGACAAAATCCAGGACAATTCTCAGCAATTAATGTGGCAAACAAATTTTAGCTATTACTCCTTCTCTCCTTTTCTTTGGCAAAGATTAGGATATTTAGCACCCTATAAAGACCAAAAAAAAAAAATAACCATAAATTATCTAGGGTGAACACTACTCGACAGTAGAAATGTTAAATTGCTTAGCAACCAATCAATAAAAAAATAAATTATAGGTGGCATCAAATAAACTGCTTAAACATTTGGATTAAATATATATTACTCATTAAATAGATGACACTAATATTTTAACACCCAGATGAAATAGAACCAAATAAATCTTGTCTTACAGTGGACCAAATGAACTACACTTATCTTTGAAATACTTCATTGTAGACGACATTAAACATGCTATTTATAACACAACCATTATCATCAAGTATCAATATCTTCAATCCCTGTTTTCTCTTTACTCTTGATAGTGCCACATAATTTCCATGAGTGAAGATAGGCCCAGGGAAATAAATTCCAACATGAGAAAGCGATTGTCCTTGACCCTTGTTGATAGTCATGGAAAATGAAACGACGAGCGAGAATTGTCTTCTTTTGGAAATATACTGGAAATGTATGACTTGATGGGCTCATCGTCATTCTAGGAATTAACACATTTTCTCCAATATTGCTTCTTGTAAGAATAGTTGCCTCAACAACATGGCTGTCCAATCTTAAAATAAGCAATCTTGTGCCTTACATAAACCTCTTGACTGGTCAATATTTCTCAACAACATAACCGGCACATTAACCTTCAAAGATAATTTATGATCAGGAATCCCCAAACATGAGAAGGTATTTAAAATCTCGGGTGAGAATTCGTTATCCTCAAGTTGAGAGTTACCATCTTACTTCAAAACATTACCCAAACTCAAATATGTTTTTTCTTCACCCGAAATCAAAGGCATTAGGTGTTCATTTAACATAGCAACATCTGCCAATTTACGAGTTAAAATTGCACATTATTTGAAGAAAGTAGGATCTAATATTTGATCCAAGATATTTGCGTACACAAAACCAACCATATCCGAGAGTGGATCTTCTGATTCCTTAATCAATAATTCATGTAAAATTGTTATGATAGATTCTCCATCAACATTATCTCCAAGATCACCATCCCCTACTTTAATAAGCCATTTAGAAAATATTTTATTTCCATTAATTAATTGTGAACACCACACTTCCAGAATTAAGAAGCATTTTCTTGGTCAAATTTAATAAACAACAATGAGACCAAAGATAAGAAGAATTGATGGTTGCATGAACTATATCTTGTCTGCTGCCATGAGGAATAACATATAATATTTGTCGAAAATCACCTCCCAGAACAACAACTTTTTCACCAAATGGCTTATAACACAACTGGTATCCAAAAATCTCAGAATATTCGTAGATCGTAAAATTATATTGTTGCATTTTATTTAAATCAACACTATGAGGTACCTAACTCCACCTTTTTGTACATTTAGAGTTGGCAAATATATGAGTTAGTAGATGTCTTTATATTAGACTGTCCTATATTCATTCAAAAATTATGTAGTTTGACTCGGCTTCTTTCAGTATTTCTCAAAGATGGACTTTCATATATCACAATCTAATTGCTCATTTTGTTTAGATGTTTATTTCTAAAATATTTACAGTGGAAAATCCAATGATCTTAGCCACACAAAGATGAGTTTGTTAGAAAATAAATATAAGGAGAAAAAAAAAATGATGGCGGGTGGGGAGGGCCGCCCCTCTGGGATGAGCCCATTTTTCCACGTATAACTGTCAGCATTTTATATCAGCAGTGAATCCAATTATCTCAACCACACAAAGACATGTTTGTTACATTGTGAATATAAGGAAAAAAAACGTATTGGCGGGATAAAGCCCACTCGTTTGGCGGGCTGGCCCTCCAGGCCGATCTCATTTTGCCACCTTCAACTATTAACATTTTATAATCAGCAATAAATACAATGATCTTAGATACACACAGACGAGTTTGTTAGATAGTAAATATAAGAAAAAAAATATATGTTGGCAGGCTAACTCGCCCTTTTGTTGGGCGGGGTGGATCGGCCCTTCGGACCGAGCCCATTTTATCACTTCTAATTGTCAGCATTTTATATCAGCGGTAAATCCAATGATCTTAGCCGCACAAAAGCGGGTTTGTTAGACAGTAAATATGAGGAAAAAAATGTGTTGGCGGGCCGGCCCTCTGGGCAGAGCTTATTTTGTCACCTCTAACTGTCAGCATTTTATATCAGCTATAAATTCAATGATCTTAGTCACACAAAGACGAGTTTGTTAGACAGTAAATATAAGGGGGGGAAAGTGTTGGCGGGCGAGGTGGGCCAGCCCTCCTAGCCAAGTCTATTTTGCCATCTCTAACTATCAGCATTTTATATTAGCAGTAAATCCAATGATCTTAGCCACACATAGACGAGTTTGTTAGAAAGTAAATATAAGAAAAAAATGTGTTGGCAGGCAGGGTTGGCCGGCCCTCCGGGCTGAGCATATTTTTTCACCTCTAACTGTTAGCATTTTATATCAGCAGTAAATCCAATGATCTTAGCCATACAAAGACGAGTTTGTTAGACAGTAAATATAAGGGGGGGAAATGTTGGCGGGTGGGGCGAGGGCCGAGCCCATTTTGTCACCTCTATCTGTCAGCATTTTATATTAGCATGTACTTTCAATTAAAAAACTTGTATTTTTTATATTAAAACTTCTTATTCTCCCGAAATCTTAATCGATTACATTTTTAATTAAAAAATTTGTACTTTTCTCTCTCCAAATCTTAATTGCTTATACATTCAAATTTTCATGATTTCTAATATTCATCTCTTTTAATTTACTTTTTATTTTATTTAAATTAATTATGCATATTTCTTTTATAGTTTTTAATATACTTTCTCTTAAAAAAAATTACTTATATTTTTGTATTTAAAATAAGACTAAAAAAATACATATAATACATGATATGTTTGCTAGTGTACATAACTTGCATTTAATATTTTTACTTGAATATTTTTTAATAATAATAGCTTAATTTTATAAGTTAACTTGAACTATGTATAAAAAAAACACTTGAACTGAAATAAATATAGTTTAAAAGTATTGATAACAACATCATTTTGTTGATATCAAAATAAAGATATTTAAATTACTTTTACACTTATTTTACTTTTTATTGTTAGTATATCAAAGTGAATTGATAGAGGGATTCGTTTTTGAAAGAACGATTATTCATGATAGAGCTATTTATCATATACGAATTTATTTATTTTAATTTTTTTATAAATTTTAAAAAATTAATTATGAATATTTTCATGTATTTTGTAGTACTTATTATCTATTTGAAGTAAACAAACAAAAAGCACATAGCCAACAAATTTCATTAGACTCATGATACGTGTCACACAACGATATTATATATCATATTCTTATTTTTAAAAATGAGTTCTTCATTAACACGCGATTTATTTATAAAAATCACTGTTAAGAACACATGATTTATTAAATATGATCAAAAATTTGTTTTAATATGTTTTGTATTCAGATACTATTACAAATGTAATTTGTGAAATAGTGGTATTATTAATCCTAACAATCATTCGTTTGTTTGTAGACCCAAAAAATTAATTAATCCTAATAAACACAATAATAAATATTATTAATAGGCTTAACAATTTTTGATGTAGAAAGTAGTGGTATTATTAATAGGTTTAACAATTTTCGATGCAGAAAGTAGTGATATTATTAATAAGTTTAACAATTTTCGATGCAGAAAGTAGTAATATTATTAATAGGCTTAACAATTACCTATGCAGAAAGTAGTAGGACATTAATACAGTTGTTTGCCATCAAAGAATATCGAACTTTTCTTTCCCACCTATCAAGTTTAAATTTCGAATTTTAAAAGTTACTAAAAGAAGAAACATTTCAAAGTGGTTTCAAGTGTGAACAGAAAGTGGATATTGAAGGAGAGAGCGACACATCAACAAACTTTCCAAAGAATGGTTTAAGATTTTATATATAAATAAGATAAGATTTTTTAATACCAAACTGAGAAATGTTAAGGGGCAACTTGTGTATTCAACTAAAACAACTTGCCACGTTAAGCTGGAGCAAGACTGATTATATGAAGTGTAAGCAAGACTGCTCTAAAACTATCCTCGCGAGATGGGCCTCCTTTTGATGATCCAACCTTGTATCATTTTATAGTTGGTTCTCTCTAGTACCCCAAAGTAACTTGTCCTGATATAACCTTTTGTGTCAACAAGGTTTGTCAGTTCACACATTCTCCTTTGGACTCTCACTGGAAAGCTTTTGAACGCATTTTATGGTATCTCAACGACATAGTACACATAGTCTTGAGCATCTCTCCCTCATCTCAGTTTCATCTTACTACATTATACGATTCAGACTCGGGCTCTGACCTGGATAATAGGCGCTCCACATCTAGCTTTTGCGTCTTCCTTAGGGGGGAACCTTGTATCTTGGTCATCTAAGAAGCAACAAGTTGTAAGCCCCTCGAGCATAAAGGCTATCAGTGTTTAGCAGCTACAGTGGCAGAATGGATCAAGTCTCTATTAGTATGTAAGTGTCCTAGAGACAATATGTTTTATCAGATGAACACCTTGTACTATTTTGGTATGTTATGACCTATATATTTGAGCATACTTTATCTTTATCATATTTATGTCTCGCCTATATTTTATGGTTAATATGCTTTTATATATAAAGGCCCTAGGGAAGGAACATGTGTTCACTTGAGGATCTATGATGAGGATCATAATCATAAAGACTCGAGGACAGTACATGTCTATTGCCTAAAGCTTGTTCCTAGTCTTGCATCACCAAGAAATGGTATTGGTGATCTCAATAAGATTAGTACGACATCTACTTGTATGGAGATACAAGGTAGAGACCTCATGGAATGCAGGCATGGTGATGCCTTAGCTGATGTCATGGGTGGATCTGTTAGGGAACAAATGGCACTGAACTGAATTACTGAGAGACTCCACAAGGATTCATTGTAGAGAGTATCATTGGATTTGCAAATTCTCTCATCGTTTGGTAGTGCGGATCGTCCTCAACTTGAGGATGTCATCAAATACTATGTCCTAAGATTATATTTTGACTGTACTCTTGGGTATATCTTGAATACATGAGTATAGATAGATATGCCGATAGGACTCACAATCCCCTACAAGGGATTTTTCGTTCACAAGACCAGTAGAGCTTAGATAATTTTTAGTTGAATCGAGAATCTATGTATAATAAGAGATCATGAGAAGTCACGATCCATCTTAGAGTCAATAGAAGAAGATTCCTAGTTTTGTGAAAAGCTTCATTTTTATTTTTTTTTGTAATAAAAAGCTTCATTTAGTCAATGAAGAAAGATGATACTTTATTCTTGCTCTCGACTAAATGTGAATGACGATGTGAGGATGATGTCGGCACGGTATCCAAATAAGAAATGTAAATCACAGGATCAACTCAATTAGTTCTGGGATCGCAGAGCATTGCTAGTATTTTCCGTTAAAGGAGTTTAATTGGTCCAAGTTTATTTATGTCAGTGACTAATTGGGCATAATGGGACGCATTAAGGATATTCTTGATTGCTTATACTTAGCAAGTTTGGGCCAATAATTGTTATTGGGCTTTTTTTAACACTGTAGATGTAATTGGGTTGGAGTTTGATTCCAAGCCCAATAGTACCATGCACCTCATTTGGCTATTAGTGAGATATTGGTTTCTCCACTCATGGGTTCAAATGTGTCAGAAGACCCAATAGGGTCCTTGAGTCATGAGTCCTAGTAAGTCAAAGAGTTGACTTGGCCAAAATGAGTTTCGACACAATTTGAAATTTGAATTTTGAAATTTAAAATTTGAATTCAAATTAAAATTACGATCTAGGATAAAATTGAATTTGAATTTGATTTAAATTTAAGTTTGAAATTTAAATTCAAATTTTAAATTCAAGATGTTAGGTTTTTAAGGATAATTTTGAATTATCCAAATCTATATCTAATGAGATTGGATAGAGATTTTTTATTACTATTTTATTTGAATTATGAATTAAATATAATCGTATCTTGCAACAAGAGATTTCATGAAGATTCTAAGAGATTATAAATGGATCTGATCCATTGGGCTTCGATTTTGAATTCAAGTCTATTCTTAATTGGAAATCAAATCATGAGGTGTCTAACTTCATGATTAAATAATATCCTAAGAAGATACACCTAGGGGTGTTCATCAATCGATTCAAATCGTAGTGACCGAACCGAAAAATCGAAAACCGAATTAATCGAAAAATCGAAAACCGAAAAAAAAAACTAGTAGAATTTAATCAAATTGGATCATTTTTTGGATGGGTTAGTGAAAACCGATCCAATCTAAAACGATCCAGTGATTCTCCAATCTTACCATCTACATACTTGGGCCTTTCCCCAATCATAGCCCAAAAATCATATAGCAAAATTATAAATTCAAGACCATTAACCCATCATGTTGGAAAAAGTGGATTGTGCTTGATCTATGTTATACTTTTTTTTGGTAAGATACATAATATATTTTTATTACATGGGTTATTGTTGTAGAACAGCTTCTCTATAGGATGAAAATTTGAGTTACTTCGTATCTCATGCAATCATATTATAAACTTTTTGTTGGAAGTAAAAGATGATAAAATAACTTTTTGATGTACAATGCTCCTAGATTGCACAATAACCAGTATACAAACTTTACAAAGCCAATACATACAAAAGATATGTTATTTGCACAATAATCATCATACAAATCTTAAGCTTTTCAAAAAATCAAAAATCGATCCAATCCAAACCGAATAAAATTGGATTGGACTGGATCGGATCGGATTTGCAAAAAATCCAAATCGAACGGATGATTACGTTATTAAACCGAAGGGATTGAATCAAATGATTTTAATTTCCAAAATCGATCCAATCCAAACCTCGAACACCCCTAGATACACCATATCTTCATGGATATGAGCCTAAGTAATGTTATTGAATTATGATTGTAATAAACCCTAATTACATAACATTAAATTAGCGCCCTTCTCATTCTAAGAAAGAAAAGTAGTGCCTCTTTTGACTAAGAACTCTAGTCTTGGCCACCCCTCTCTCTTCATCTCTTCCTCCATTGTTGCTCCTCTCACCTAACCTCAAGACAACATTACAGTCTTGAGAAAAATAACCTAATCGCTTGAAAACCTCCACCTTGCCTTGCCTAGCAAGCTTCCAAGGAAAGGAGGACTCGAGAGAAAGTGTTTCTCACAAGCAACCAAGAGGGAGCTGTGTGGATTACTGTTAAAGGGAGTCGTCTTCGTTAACGCCTTTAAGTAAAAAAGGTACGAGCTTTAAACCCTACGTGTTTTAATGGGTAAATCATGGGCATGAACACATGAGGAACATAAATTGTTTATGTTTTTCCGCATCAAAAATTTTTGTTTTCACCCTCATGTGAGCACACCAAGGTGTTGCCTTTTTCATCTTTCAGTGTCTGTGTTGACAGAGATACGAGTAATCTTCAGAGTGTTCCCAAGATCTATTGTAAGAATTTAAGTGCACCAAGCATTTTGAACTTGACCTTTACTTTGTGCGTGAAAAAGTCCTTAACAAGTCAATAACAGTTCAGCATGTTCCTTCTGTTGATAAAGTAGCAGATGATCTCACTAAAGCTGTGTCAAAGCCGAAGTTTATGAATTTTAGGACTAAGCACAAAATTTCCAATTCCAAGCTTATGGGGGTGTTGGGGTGCCACGGGGAGGGGGGTTATAAAATAACAAACTCAATCATTTCTGTTGTAACTGCATACGTGTATCAAATATTTAGTTAGTTATTCTATGAGAAATATTACTCTCATGTTAGGGGGGTTATAAAATAACAAACTCACTCATTTATGTTGTAACTGGATACATGTATCAAATATTTAGTTAGTTATTCTTTGAGAAATATTACTCTCATGTTAGGGGGGTTATAAAATAACAAACTCACTCACTTCTGTTGTAACTGCATACGTGTATCAAATATTTAGTTAGTTATTCTTTGAGAAATATTACTTTCATGTTACATGAGAGAATTTTTCTCTTTTACACTTACAAATTAAAAGTGAAACTCACTCTATATTTTTTTTCTCTTATCTATTCTATCTCCTCTCTCCTGTGAGTACATTAAAAAAAAAAAAAAAAAAAATCTCTCATATAACATAACATGAGAATACCTTATTCTTTAGTCACAGCCTATATATTGTACAACTGTATAGTGAATTATTCATTGAATGTATTTACTCGTATTAGCTACTTTCAACTACTGCAGAATTCTCTTTTCTCTCTCCTTTCGTTCTTAGACCTGTCTCAACTGAACTCTGATTGCTTTACAGGCTATATTAGACAGCCTATGCATAAACCGTGACCTAGTACGGGTCATGACACGTGAAATGCACAAGCATATGCAAATAGAAGAAGAACTGGTTAGGGAATGTATCCCACAAAAGAGAACAATAGAAGATAAGGATATTCAAGACTTCTGTTAGAGAACGAGAGAGAGAGAGAGAGAGGAAATCAAGGATGTTTTGTCATGTTGTATTCTCAATGCTGTAAAGATATGAACATTACCTTAAATGTGCATGATGGAAAACAGGTTCTAACTCCTATGAGATGTGGTCATCACATCATCATTAGCAATGGAAAAAGAAACAGCACTTGCCACCACAATATGGATCCAGTAAGCAAAATAGCATTATAAGCTTCCTATTCAACTCAGGTCATCAAACCGCAAAAAGATTTTACATGGACCACAAGGGAAAATCATATGCTCCTCAAACACTGCTTCCTCTTAACACAAGCAACTTGGACAGTAAAATCAGTAATTAAGCAACGAATATTTCAATCTCAAAACAATTTTCCCTTTTTCAACACCAAGCTTTCCACCAGTTACTAACCAATGTCCAGGAGGATCTTGGGGTCCTTTGTTCATTTCAGACAAGTCAACATACTTCACCAACTTGTTCCCTGTGATGTTTTCTCTAGAACCAAAGCTTGAGCCATCTGGGTTGGAAGTGTTCCCAGCATTCACAATTTTCGGTGACTTATCCGGGACGTGATCCCACAGTGATCTTCGGATTGTGCAGCCAGGCAACCTTGAATATAAAAGTTTCATGTACAACACATTCCTTGATCCAAAATCCCACACCCCAAGCTGTGCTCCAGTAACTATGTAGACACCAGAGAAGTCTCCTATAAAGCCTTCAGGGTTCTCAATTGGTGCAGTGCTCACATGAGAAAAATTCTTCCACTTAACCGGCTCAAACCACCTGCTATCTTGTTCCTCAGGTCCCTGCCACTTGGGCGCACCGATAGCTACATGGCTGTCCCAATATGGCTGAAGGATCTTCGGAAGGGATACCAAGTGTTGAAGATGAACACTCAGCCTATTTTGCTTGCTTCCTTCTAGACAAAGACGTAAGCCAGTTACTGGCCTACGTCCAACTGTAATCTGCATTTGAAGAGAACCATCATGTTTAGAGTAAAATTGATTAGATATGCTCCACATTTCATTTACACTTTGATGGCTTCTCACTAACCCAAGTAGCCAATAATTATATAAATTTAGTCCCCAAATATCAATATGACAAAAATCTGCTTAAATCCGTATGTAAGTTAGCAAAAATGTAACGGGAAATAGGTTAGCATACTCAGATACTATTTCATGAATAATACATTTGGTGAGAAGAATTATAACATTATGCCGAGGACAGTGGGAAATCATGTTTTAAGGCAAACATTCCCATTATGTAATGTTTCACAAAAGGAAATTAAACAAAGAAGAAATAATGAACGGTAACGTGACAACATCAAATGTTAGTTTCTTCATTATGTCTTTAAAGCCGATCTTCTCTCTTGAAGATACACATTCCCCATCGACCAACCCCTATTTCCAAATTATACCATGAGACATTTTGATGAACTTCATATCAGCGAAGAGAAAGGATTATATTATTTCCAACCTACTATAATAGAAAAATAAAGTTTTAGACTGTAAGTTCTTCTCTTTAAACGCTTCACAGCAAAGATGCAGCACCAATTTCAATAATTAAAGGCACCATATTGAAAAAAGATGACAAAATCAAGTATAAGCTGCCTTAGAATAATGCACACAGGAAATAATGAAAAGAGTACATTAATGTAAGTTATAATTTATTAAAGAAAAATATAAACCATTAAAAAAGCCCTCACCCAACAGCTTAAGTTTTTGGGTTGAATTGATTCTTTACATAATTAAATGAGTTTCAGTGGTTAAAAAAACACAAAAAAAAAAAAAGACTGACCTAACATAATCCAGAGAATGACTTTCCCCTTAAATCCAAAAGAATACATTAGAATTTAGAAATAGAAATCATTTCATTCAGGTGTATAAATATTGGGGTTATAACTTCTATTGTGACCACAGAAATATAACCTTGCAACAGACACAGATTTTCGATGAGGCCCATGATTGTTAACTAAATAAAAAAAAACAAAATGCTCTACACACACTTCCATATCTCTGCGGGAATCAATTTGTCTTCTCCTGTGAAAGGAGAGACATATTACCCAAAAATATTATAGATAAAGGTTCAATTTACTAGATTCACTAGACTTGAAGACAGTTTCCTATAGGCGCTAGATGATTAGGTCATAGAATTATATCTTGCCAAGCAAGTAACAAACCAAATGTCCCCTCCCCGAAGCAAGAAAAATTGGAAAACAAAAAAGGGTACGCCCTATCTACCCACAAACTCTGAATATACTACATCTCTTTTGTAAAGAACCAATTTAAACCAAAAGCTTAAACTACTAAGTGAAGGCCCCACCAATGGTTTTATATTATATTTCTTTAACACGCCTCCTCATACAAGAGCCCCTTCGGCTTGAAGGGTGGACAATGCACAGGCCTTTCCTATCTATGCTAAGAAACTCCACAATATTTAATTATTTATTAATAGAACGAGGGTGAGGATCGAACTCGTGACCATTTGATCAAATAGGCTCTGATATCATGTAAAACAACAATTTCAACCTGATGGACCTGAAAGTAAGGGAGTTAGTTAGAGAATTGTTCTAGAATATTCTTAAAGAATAGGATAAAAAGAAGGGGAGTGTGGAGTGAGGTAGGCATGAATTAAGTAAATATTGGGAGGAATTGGGGATTTCTTGGAACCTAGGTGAGTTGGTTCTAAGGGTGAGCTAGGGTTTTTTGGTGTATTTCTCTGCAATTAGTATTTGTAAGGAGCTTGTCTCCATTTTTGTTTTCACCAATTTCAGATTAATAATATTGGGTTTCATCAATTTGGTATCAAAGCACTTCCAATCCTAGGAGTGCTTTCTGGTCCAGATTTGTGAAGACACGACAACCATGAGAGGGAATCTAGCTTGGAAGAAGGTCAACACACCAGAGGTCAAGGAGTTGATGCAGAAAATGATAAAAATCATAGATGCATGGGAAGAGAAGCAAAAGGCTCTACCTATGGACGACAAGAAACAACATGACAGTGATAGCAATTGTCAGTCAAAGAAGGATCGAGAGGCAAAAATTGAAACAGATAAAGGAAACAAAGAAGAAAAAGAAAAAGAAAAAGAAGCACGATCTGAAGAAGGAAACGAAGAAGAAGAATATGCAGCAGTTGCAAAAAAGGAAGAGAAAACAAAGGTTGAAGATGAAGAAGAACAACAAATAGAAGGAGGAGGACTAGAAGAAATAGAAGAAGAAGAATAAACAGATCAGCAGCGTGAAAAGGGCATGAAGAAGGAGGTTCTGATCACAGAAGACGGGGTGAGGCACGCTTCACAAGATCCGCAAGCATCTCCACCACCACTATAGTCGTCGATAGCAAGCCCATATACGACGGACAACAGTTTGACTCTTGTGAAGTTGCAGCAGAAGTGGCCGTTGTATCATAGAAGGATTGCACGACACCACCCATCGTACGAGAATTGAGTGGGTTGAAGGAGATGTAAAGGGAAGAAGGACAAAATTGGAATTATGCCAAATGGGTTTAAATTTTAATCTTACGGGACAAGCCCAAAATAAAGGGTGGCTGGAAGGAAATAAAATGGGCTTTACCCAACCCATAAATACAAAGATTATAGTGGTTGAATCTATCAAATGGGTGCTAAAAATAATATTAGGCCAAGGTAAAGGTCAGCTGCAAGAACCCAAATCAAAAGAACAATGTGTGTGGAAACTCCTTCCACGACTCAACCATGTTGACATTAATGAAGCTGAAATTAGCCTCAGTTTTGCGGGCAAAAATGCCACAAAAAACAGATCACCAAGGGACAACGCAGGAACAACAATTTTCAATGGTGCAGTGGGCTTCAATGGCAATATTTCATTTCTGTAAAGAACCAATTCAACCCAAAAGCTTAAACTATTAAGTGAGGGTCTCTTTAATGATTTATATTATACTTTAACACGCCCCCTCACAAGAGAGCCCATTGGGCTTAAAAGGTGAATGATGCATCAGACTCAGCCTACCGATGCTAAGAAATTCCACAAAGAAAATGGGGGGCGGCGAAGATCGAACTCGTAACACCGAAGCTCTGATACCATGTAAAGAACCAATTTAACACAAAAGCTTAAGCTATTAGGTGAGGGCCTCTTTAATGATTTATATCACACTCTAACAATTTTCAAGCATAATAAGGTGGAACGTCTCTCACATTACATGTCCTCTTTCTTCACCTTAGGGACAGGGTGAGTTTTGAAGGGGGAGTATTGATAGGCCTGCAAGTAAGAGAGTTAGTTAGAGAATTGTTCTAGAATATTCTTAGAGAATAGGATAAAAGGAGGGGGAGTATGGAGTGAGGTAGGCATGAATTAGTGAATATTGGGAGGAATTGAGGATCTCTTGGAACCTAGGTGTGTTGGTTCTACTAGGGTTTTTTTGGTGTATTTTTCTGCAATTAGTATTTGTAAGGAGCTTGTCTCCATTTTTGTTTTCATCAATTTCAAATCAATAAAATTGATAACAAGACACAAAGGCCCATCAATACACCCCCCTCCAAAATTCACCTTGTCCCCAAGGTGAAGAGAGAGGATAGGTAACATGAGAGAAACTTCCACCCGGATCCTATTGTTTGAAGCATATTATGCTTGAAGTTAAAGAACTGTCGTTGGGTCCTACTACAACCTTATCAATTGTTATGCACTTGTTGCCCTCTAGTGCTCTGTTTTTTGTATTTTTTGTCACCAAACAGAGTATAACTCCACTGTCCCCGTGCTTTGTTTTTTGTGGCGTTTCTAGCCAAAAAACAGAGTGCATTGGTATGAAATTCCAGCCATGTAGCCTCTTGCGCCATTATTTCTAGCCCTTGTAAGTTGCCTTTCTCTTGTTGCACCATTCTGTTTTCATCGTGAAATTTCGCATTCTCCACCATTATTGCTTCACGTGCTCCCAAAATCATACTTAGTGTCAAAAATACAAGATTTGGTGAGAAGGGGTTGTCGCACCTAAAACCCAGATTTCGCCATTGTTTGTCGTTGAGCACCTCCGGTGAGAGTTACCTGAATCTTGCCCCACTACCCTATTGTTCGAGCTAGGGTCATACGATGTGCTGGCTTCTAAACAAACCTCCTCAAAACTTGGGTTGCTAATGTTATGTGTTTGCCCTTCGTTTTGAGTTGTGACTGGCAAGGCTGTTCCACTTGGCCCAATATGTCCCTGACTAGCATTTGCATTGGGCCTTTCTGTGTAAGTTCTAGCCCGATTATGTAAAGTTGGGCCCTTGTACAACCCACTTCCATTTCCCACACAACTCATCAGCTTCCCCCCTCCTGTCTCGTCATTTTCTTCATCTTCTTTTGCCTCTGGTGCCTCTTCATCTTCTTTTGCCTCTGGTGCCTCTTCTTCTTCTGCATCTACTTCTTCTTCTTTAACCTCTGTTCCTTCTTCTTCGTGCACTTCTTCATTTTTTGCGTGTCTTTCTTTCTCTTGTTTTTTTTTTCTTCGATTCTCGATGCAGCGAACATGTGAAGACAGATTTGTGCCTTGATTTTCTCTCTCAAAGCCTTGAGCTCTACTCTCTTCTTTTTCTCCTCTTCTTGAGGGTGAGATCCATTTCTGTCTACACGGTTTAGGAACTCCAAAATGATTTCTCATAGCTGATGAAATGCGTCCTCAACTCCATTCATCCTCTCTTCCAATAGCTCAGTGCGCCTCTCCACTTTCTTCACTCTGTTTTCCATATTTTTTATATTTTTTTATAAGGACCAGAAGCACCTCCGGGATCGGAGATGCTCTGATACCAAATTGATGGACCAGAAAATTATATTAAAGTAAAATATGAAGATAAGCTCATTCAACAACAATACAAAAACATATAAATGGTAATCCTAATGCAGAAACAACTAATACATGATACTGAGAAAATTCTGCAGAAAAGAAACAAGGAAAAACACTCCCAGCTCCCTCCAAGATCAACAATCCCAGACCTTAGAGTTCCCCAAATCCTACTCCAAGTTAGCTCAATTCATGCGTGCCTTCCCCCTTTCCATTTCTTGCTATATAACCACCTTCTATCATCACAACCTTCTTGAATCTTCTTTCCACGTTCTCCCCACTATTCCCTCACCATTCATAGCTTGCCACGTGGCTTCCCCAATATCTAATTTTCCTCCTTCATTCTCTTTCACCATCAGCTTATTATTTTCAACTTCCTCTTGGGCTCTCTTCTTTGGCCCCCAACATAACGTTGATAACAAGACACAAAGGCCCATTACAACCCAACAGCTAAAGCTATTAAGTGAAGGCCCCATCAATGATTTTATACTATATCTCTCTAACATCTTTAAAGGAATCATTGATGCCGGATAAGAAGTTTCAAAGGATAGGAAAATGCCACAAATGATTCTTTACCTGTTCTTGACTGACATAAAGTTTCTGGCCCATTATGCTGAATTGCAACGATGGGCACACAGGTTCCTTCCTTTGTTGACCAGGAATCCTGTCCTGTAAAGGAGCCCAAACACGAGGAATCTGAAACTCTAGGAAATATCTAAGTTCTTCAATTGGAGGTTTATCTGAGTACAAAATTTAAGAAAAGGAAAAAGAAATGTGCAATTGATATTAGATTATGCTCCCAGAAGCCAATAAGAAAAAAAACTAAATCATCTAAAATAGAGGATAAGTTGACTTACATTCAAGATAAAGACCGATTGCACGAGTCAAATGCTCCTTGGCAGGTATTTCATCAAGGAGATCTGTTATAGGACAGAAAGTCATCTGAATGATATCTGGGGAGGATTTGACAGTTCTTACCCATTTACTGTGGTTTTGTTCCAAATCATCTCCTCCTCTTCTTCTAAAAATGACTGTGACATCCTGACCAATAAGTATTCGAGAAAGTTAAGAGAAAGATAATACTTGATGAAGCTTTTTTTTTTTTAAAGATAGAATTGATGGAGATATTCAACAGACCAGCAAGCTACTAACAATCAAAAACCATAAAACCCACGAGTATTGTTCTTAACAATAAGTATGGATTCTTCCCAGTATTGCACCATGCTGATGCACAGCTCCCCATCCAAAATTTAGTCATGCTCGTCATATTCCAAAATGTCAAGGAAAGGGGAAGAAGAAACAAGTAACAGACTTATATAGGACCAAATTCCAAGAAATTACACACACAAAAAGCTGCACAAAAACAGTAACAGATTTGGTATTCATGGCTGTAAAATAATAGGCATTAATGGAGAAAGAGTCTTGCCATATTGCCTATGCCTTGGTTCTATAATAGTGACAATTTATCACCATTCACCAATGTATTAATTTTGGCATTTGTGTGCAACATAACAAACAAGGATTATTCAAGTTACAAAACCATCAAATGAAATGAAATGAAATGAAATGAAGGAAGCTATTCCGATGGGATATGTGGTTGAGTTGAGAGAGTCCCCAAGGATCCTGCAGAGAACAGGCCAGCAGGCCAATAAGAAGGGTCTTAAAGCCTAGAGAGAGAAAGCCTCATAACTACTCACAATCGCAACTTAAGAACCAACTACTCCCAACCACAACTTAAGAAAACCATTCCTCCCGGTTACCCTTTTGGTGCCTATACATATTAAACCTCTTGTAAAGAATCATTTCAACCCAAAAGTTTGGGCTATTAGGTGAGACTACATTAATGGTTTTATTTCTCTAATATCCCCCTCACACGAGAGCCTATTGGCTTGAAGGGTGGATGATGCATCAGGCCCAGTCTACCTGTGTTAAGAAACTCCACAATATTTAATTATTTTTATTAATAGAATGGAGGCGGAGAGGACTGAACTCATGACCATTTAGTCATGTCAGCTCTGATATCATGTAAAGAACCATTTCAACCCAAAAGCTTAAGCTGTTAAGTAAGACTATATTAATGATTTTATATTTCTCTAAAACCTATTATTACAAAGGTATGCTCATTCCCCTTCTTTCTCCTCTACCAAGCATTCCTCCATATGCTCAGTAGGACAACTAATTGACAAAAGTCTTCTCCAATAAACAAAGTCTATCATTACTTAGGCATTGGAGTGAGACCATGGAGCTTCCCGCCTATCTCTTCCTTGCAGATAACCAAGCATTCCTAGAATTGACACTTTGGAGAGAAGAGACCATGACCAATGGACCTGAGCCCAATCTATCTCGGATACAACAAATTCTAATAAATTTGCTTATACAATTTCAGATCTTAATGAAGTCAAATAACATAAAAGGGAAACAGATCACAAGAAAAACGCAGGAAGGAAATGCACAAGATAACTATTTACCTAGGAAGCACTTATAATTTAAAATGTGTTTTGTACTGGTATTGATATGTACCCGTACCAGATACTTTACTCATGGATATGTATCCATACCAGATATTTTACTCAAACAACATCAAATACTGTTAGCCTGGATCCTACATATGTATAAGAAATGTCATAGAAGTATGAAACATATATTACATACTTCCTTCCCAGTAGAATATGTTGCAGTTGTCGGTTGAGGGTAAATCCCTTGATTATTGAATGAAAATGGATCAACACCCTGCAAAATATATAATTAAAATAATCAAGCATTACATTTCTTGCCATCATGGACCTGGATCATATCAATTTATGCAAGAAAAGTGGAATAGAAGTGAACTAGCCTTATCCTTGGATTTTATTTGACCTGAGCTTGTATGGCTATTGATGTCAGAGAACCTTTGATTTCCAATATCCTGAATATAGTTTTTTATCTCCAACTTTGACAAAGGTGAAGTATGGTGTTGTTTAACATAAATAACATCTTTACCACCAATAGTTATTGATGTAATGACATGCGTCCCAAAATTTTCAATAAAGCTGTCAGAATATAATTAAAAGTCAGGGAAATCTGAAGATATCTTTGTTACAGAAGTATGTAAATAACTTGATATACGTACCTTGCCAAGGATGGTGGATCCCAATTGACTGGGACAGCCCTTTTGACATTTTCTTGCAACATTAAGTGGGTCTTTTTAAGCTGAACCTTTGCAAGGGGAATGTAAAACCCATCTGAAGACAAGGTTTTTGTGGCTGCAGCATCAACATGTTTAGAACCAGTGAAGCTAAATGCGGAATTAAAGCTCCCAAGGGGAAAGCTGCCTGATATATTTGCCTTATGATTGAAATATTCCACCATCTGCAGTCAAGTGACAAAAGAAGAACTATCATAAATTTGAGGAAGCATTTGGGGGGGTGGGGGGGACAGTTACAATATCTGACTTTTACTATTATTTTAACAACAAGTAGCTTTGGCCTTTAGTTTTAAATTATTTCCTTCATTTAAAGCTACAATTTAGAACAGCCAAATATGACTCATGTTCTTTAGTACAATGCAATCTGAAATTGCTATCGTTTGTTTGCCTCAAAAACTTAATGCACACAAAATATCAAGGAATCAACCACTGTACTTTGAAAGCAATTTACAAAGACTATAGATATAAATGTCAGTAATAGATATAATTTGAAAATTTCTGGTAAACAAGAAAATTATCTAATGCTAAGGCTTGCACTGGCTATCGAGTCATCATCAAGAAGATCACTTTGGGGGTTCCTATAGATCCATTGCTAGAAGCCATTCCATACCACAATTTCATTACACCAGGACCATCTCTTGCCCACAAACATGAATGACAACTCAAAAACAATGTCAAATTTACCAAGTAATTAAATATAACTGAAAAATTAACATGCTGAATTACATTTAGGAAATTATTTTCACCGAGTTAACACACAACATTTTCACAAAACAAGAAAAAAGGATTGTAAACAGGGAAAATTTCCAATCGTCAACTTTACCTCTTGGAAACTGCAGACCCCAGAACTCTGACGCCCTACGGACTCCTGAGAGTTTCTAATGTCCCTGGAAACATTGGGAACAACCACATCATCGTACAACCAAAGTTCCCTCGGGTGTTCCTCATCAATCTCAACTACCCTAGACCCTGAAACTCCTTTACAATAAAGCAACCTCGTATCAAAGTTCACATCAAAGCCCCTCCCTAATGCTTGCAAAGCGTTAGTAGCAGTGTGCAAGGCTGCTACATGCTCCCCCATAGCTCATCAAAATTCGTTGTCTCACCTCAAAGGACTCTCCTTATATGCAATCAGAGGGAAACCCAATTCTGAATGGAACTTGAAGTTGAATTATCTCAGCAATCGAAGGGAATTAGAATGACCCACGTGAACAAATTACACAGAACCCAGAGAAAAGAAAAGAATTTTAACTTTAGAGCTATGTGGGTATGTGACTCATTGAATGAACATGAACAAACCCATCTTAAACCAGTTGACCCAGTAAAAATCAAGCTATGTAAGGACAACCCATGTTGGTGTTGGTGTGCCTCAACAATCTGAAGCTGGAATGGATCTCAGAGCGATGAAGATTATTATCCAAAATCTTGTATGGTTTTTGGCCTTGAGTGCTAGCTCCTTCTGGTGCCTGTCAGTGTTTCTCTCTCTCTCTCTCTCTCTAAACAGTTTCTCTCTGTAAAACAAAAACCTCTCTCTCTCTCTCTCTCTCTACATTGACATTATCGTACAGTGTAGCTTTCTAGTTTCTACCTTAGGAGACTCAGCGTATATGCGCATTAATGAATTGTCTGTTTTGTTTGTCCAAAGAGACATTGACTTCAGTTTCAGTCTTATGTATTTACCCTTCATCGAAACGTTTGCGTGTTCTTTTGCCTAACATCTTGACCGTCCATCATGATCCAAACATTTGCGTCCAAGTACGGTCAGGGTCTTATTTTAAGATTCCTATTTTTATTTTTTTATTTTTTTTCAATTTTTAGAATAATTAATTTTGTCAATGGAATTCATTCTTTTCGAAGCATACTTGATTTTAATGTACTTAATTCGAGTGCGGTAAAATATTACGTTCATGATTATATCAAATGATGTAATAATATTTTACTTTTATATTCAAGATGAATGAATATAATTAGGTTTTATAGATTAATCTTTTCAACCGATAACGACTAAAGTACATTGCTTATAAAGTTTAAGTTTAATTCCAGGTATTAGTTTATTTTTGTCAATAACCAATATAAACGTACCACTCAAAAGGCCAAGCGAGGAGAATATGAAAGTTTCATGGTCTTCCAAGTTTCTAATTTTTGTCACATATATTAAATTTACAATTTTTATCAATTGAACTAAATATTGAATAATTTTCATTAATTAAAGTTTATCTCTTTATATATTTATATATATATATATATGATGATAAGGTAGGTGGACCAAATTTCATGAGATTGTTTCATCTTAATCAGTATTTCATGTTTGAATTCTAAATATGTAACTGTGTTAAAAAATTTAGTAGGAAGATTTTTATTGTCCTTATGATTTTGCTCAGTGGGCCAAATTAATTACATAATCGCTCAATTGATGGAAATTTTTTTAAAAAAAAATGGAGAGAAAGGAATATGAAGGATGGTAATTTTATTTTTATAAAATAAGTGAATAACCTGTGTTATGCATGTTCGAACTTAGAAATTTTAAATATTTAATTTGATATTACATCCCAATTTAACTATTTTTATTTTTTTTTTGATAAATTTTGATTGAGATGAAACTAATGGTTTGTACTTTTCTGAGTTTTCGCATAAATTTCATGCTTGAAGATTAATGTATGTAGAACCTCCCACACTTGTCCAAGAAAGCAAACAAATTAAAATGGAGTTCAGAAGGGGACGAAGCAGAAAGTGACAAAAACCTCAATTGCAAATTTGCAATAACAGTTGAAAACAAATCCAAGGCATTTCTTTGCCCAATTTTACTGATATATCTGCACAACATTATTCCTGTAAATGTGTGAGAAGTTATGTACAAGTATCAGAATTCTTATGGCAAAAAAATTAAAATATTATTATTTTAATAAATAATTACGAATAGGTTGCAGTTTGAATATTATTTTTGAATTTATTACGGTCATTTACGTCTAAATTAGGCGTGACTATTCACGCCCAAGTTAGGCGTGACTCCCAAGGCATTCACGCCTAAATTAGGCGTGACTTGTCTTATGTTGACACGTGGCACAAAAAATTAATAGTTTAACCGTAAAACTTTATAAGGTCATAACTTTTGACTCAGGTATCCAAATGAGGTAATTCTTTTTTTTGATTCCACATAACTTTTCGAGATCTACGCAATGACATCTCATTTGATATATTTTATCTCTCACAAACACAATTCAAATTTACAACAATGATACTATAAAGATGGCACCAAAGTGGATTAACTCATCTATAAATAAGATGGCACCAAATTTTCTATTAAATACAAAACGCAATCAGTTCCTATTAAATACAAAACGCAATCAACTCCTATAACATTAAATTCAAAATTCAAATAACCACCAGCAATTTATTTGAATTGGCGACAATCTGTAACCAACTCATAAAATTATAACGCAATCAGCTACTATTAAATACAAAACACAATCAACTCCTATTAAATACAAAATGCAATCAACTTGTTGGAGGTTATTTGAATTTTGAATTTAATGTTATAGTACCATTATTGGGCTTGAATGAGTGCAATATATTCGTAATTAGGTTCAAAACGGCAACTTATTCATTTTTCTTATTAATAATAATTTTTTAAATTTTTTTTGGTAATACACTATATAATACAATTATTGCAAATTTGAATTATGTTTGTGAGAGATAAAATATATCAAATGAGATGTCATTGCGTAGATCTTGAAAAGTTATGTGAAATCAAAAAAAGAATTACTTCGTTCGGATACCCGAGTCAAAAGTTATGACTTTCCAAAGTTTTATGGTTTGTAAGTTGACTTTTTTGCCACGTGTCAACACCAGATGATTCACGCCTAAATTAGGCGTGAATGCCTTGGGAGTCACGCCTAATTTAGACGTGAATGAGTGCAATAGATCCGTACATAGTTTCGAAATAACTATGTATTCGTAATTATTTATTAAAATAGTAATATTTTAATTTTTTTTCCCCGAATTCTTATAGTATATTCAAGATAGCGTTCATTCCATCTTAACTTTTTCTTTTATAAAAAGGTATTATTTTTTGTAAAAATAATTATATAATTTTCTGTAACAAAACTGATTATCTCCTTAAAAATTCTGGATTAATGAGATTATAGATAGTAAAAAAAATATTTGATACACATAGATAGTAAAAAATTACTAGTAAATAATTATACCCTTTTCTGTAGTGATCAAAATTAAATCAATCGGCGAATGAAACAAATGGCCCTTATTGAAATAAATTCAACCTTTTAAACAACTTTTTTTAATACAATTCAGACCAAAATAATTGTGTATCGAGTTTAATTACATCTGTCTTAAAACTTTGCTTAAATAAACACACCCAACACTTTACATTTGCCATACATTAGATCAAAACTTTGTTTAAAACATACAGATTGAAGCGGCAGGGATGCATCATGAATTTATACGAGTTATATTAAATAACCTTGTTTTTAAAGTTTATATTTAAAGGTATATTTACCATTGGTTTAATAAATTTACTAGTAGATTTATCTTTAAATTATTTAATAGATTAAAGTTTTTTTTTTTTTTTGGAAAACCAGGGATACTAAAAAACAACACAAAGCTATTGGATTGCTGTGAGCTTTGTGTTGTTTTTTAGTTTCCTTTGTTTTCCAAAAAAAAAAAAAAAAACTTTAATCTATTAAATAATTTAAAGATAAATCTATTTCATTACTTTACAAATCAACTTAATTTTTTCCATTATTAACATGGATTGGATTGATTTACGTTGTATTGAAATAAACGAAAACCTTTTTTTGAAAACATTTTTTTTGCAATACAATACAATATTGCAAAAAAAACACAAATTTAAATACACAAATTTGATAAGATGATTAACTACGAATTGATATATAAGTTGATTCGAGCTTAAATTCACTCAGTTTTCATTACTTTAGAATAAATTAGAGAAAGTTGATTGAAATAAAAAGACACCTTACTTTTTTACAAAAATAAAAATAAAAGTTAGTTAATATGCAATAAAGACAACGTGATACCAAAGTAATACTCAAGCAATATGCAAGAATATAACAATAAATACATATTATGATAAATTATTCATTGTAATAATGTGTTTATTATGGCCGATTTATCATTTAGTTCTTATTAAAAAAAAATTAATTTTATCCATATGTGCTCTTCTCAAATTATGGGGTGTTTTGATTTTTTTGTTCTTAAAACTATTTTGTAGAATAATTATAGAAATAGTTATTTTCTATGTTTTTTTATTTTGAAAGTTAAAAACTAAAACAGAAAACAAAAACAACTCAGACATGTTCTCTAAATTTGATTCTAAAAACAAAAAAACAGTTAAAGTTTTTAAAACTTTTTTTACAAAACAGGCCTTACCAAACGAGTTTTTTTGTTTTTTTTTCTAAAAACTAAACAATTGTTTTTGAAAATAGTATTCAAACAGAGCCTATATATCAATAGGCTCTTATTTGACCAAAATTTGATTAAATCTTATTTCTTAGTAAATCATTTTTGCGAATAAATGATACTCAAATAACTGCCACACAAACTTTGATCAAACAATGATAAGTTAAATATAATTTAAAAAATAAACAAATTGGTATGTAATTTAAGAAATTTTATTAAAACAAAGGCAAATTGACCAATGAGCCCATAATTCTTCATGACAGTCATGTTCGTAGCTCTTTATATTAGATTATTGAATCTCATGGCGAATAATGTATTTCGAATGGGATCCTCATGATCATGTGATCATATTATTTGATCAAAATCATTTATTAATGATAAAATAAGAGAGAGAAAAAAATGTAATAACATGACCACATGATTATTTTTTCACATGAAAAAATCCAATTCCCATTTCGAATACATGTTGAAAGTTTTTCAAAGGAACATAAGAGCGTTACCTACAAAATCATTTCATTAAATGATTTCTCTAAAATAAAAACAAAAAAACAGTTAAAGAGAGAACTAAAAATTGTTTTTGAAAATAGTATTCAAACAGAGCCTATATATCAATAGGCTCTTATTTGACCAAAATTTGATTAAATCTTATTTCTTAGTAAATCATTTTTGCGAATAAATGATACTCAAATAACTGCCACACAAACTTTGATCAAACAATGATAAGTTAAATATAATTTAAAAAATAAACAAATTGGTATGTAATTTAAGAAATTTTATTAAAACAAAGGCAAATTGACCAATGAGCCCATAATTCTTCATGACAGTCATGTTCGTAGCTCTTTATATTAGATTATTGAATCTCATGGCGAATAATGTATTTCGAATGGGAATGGATCCTCTGATCATGTGATCATATTATTTGATCAAAATCATTTATTAATGATAAAATAAGAGAGAGAAAAAAATGTAATTTTTAAATGAGTGATTATGATCAAATAACATGACCACATGATTATTTTTTCACATGAAAAAATCCAATTCCCATTTCGAATACATGTTGAAAGTTTTTCAAAGGAACATAAGAGCGTTACCTACTTGTGAACGTTTTCATTTTCCATCCCAAGTTTCAAATCATTTTCAGAGTCGCCCCTTCAGCTATAAAATCCACACATTTCAATAGAAAATCAAAGTTTTCTAGCTAAGGGGAAAAAATACAAACGACAGGTGTTCCTTAAACTGTGGTATACTCAAGACCAGTACTAACCATATCACAGAAGTAACGTTCAATAGAATAATATACACAATAGTCATTGGAGTTTTAAAATTGACAATAAGTGGGAACAATGACCATTTTGCCACGCCCGGCAAAAAAATTTACCAGACTATCACGCCAACAATAAATTTTGCTAAAATGCCACGCAACATATTTCGCTACACAGTGTAGCAAAATATGCCAGGTCAGGTTGCACAGTCAGCAAAAATGACACGTGTTAAGCAGACAGAATCCAAGCATAATTCGCTACACAGTGTAGTGAATTTCTGCATGCTTGACACGTGTCATTTTTTTTAACTGTGCAGCCTGACGTGACATATTTCGCTACACTGTGTAGCGAATTATATGCAAACATATTTCGCTACACAGTGTAGCGAAATATGCCGCGTGACATTTTGACAAAATTTACTGTTGACGTGACAGTCTAGTAAATTTTTTTGCCAGGCATGACAAAATGGTCACTCTCCCCAATCAGTGAAGTCATTTAAGAGAAAAAAAAAAATTATTAAACACCCTTTGGATACAACTACTTTCAAAGTTTCAATGAATTGCTTAACCATAATTACAAAGTTGCCTTAGAAGTTAGAATGGAGGAAAATATCTTTAAACCAACGTGTTCTTTTACAAGAAGATCAAATATACAATATAAACAAATCTTTTCTGTTTCCTTACTCTTTCTAAAAGATTACCAACATCATTCTACTCTTCTGTTGAACATGTTACACACTTCTAGTTGTCACCTTAGATGATTACTTGTGAATGCATTAAATTATAGAACATACCATGAGAACTCTTTATCTACAATAAACGGGAAATTTTTTAAATTTACCGCTCACGGATAATTTCTTGTCCTCTTTGAAGAAAACAAATGGCGAAGAAAAGCAAATTTTCCTCTGTTTCGGGTAGAAAAGTTAGTTATGGTACAGTTACCGTTACTTGTGGCAGCCTCAAGTTCATTGTCAGGTTCTGGCAATGAAGGGGTTGGTAGTTGGAGTGTAAAGGTAAATGCATTGAGCATGCGGATAATCTGACTAAAGCTTGGTCTCAGGTTAGGATCCTCAACCCAACATGATTGTATGATAAAGGCAAGATCAGGGGATATATCACCAGGAAGGTTAGGCCTCTCTTGCTGCAATCTCAAATGTCAACCATGTCATGATTAGCAACAAAATCCATACCATCCAAATATAGGAAAATTTAAGCAAAAAAACAAGGCATTTTTCATATAAATATGGATAATGATTGAACATATTTTGGTGATTCTGTGCAAAAATATGGCTAGTTTTTTCCTTCATGATAAATATCTTAAGGGTAAGCCTAGAGCAGTGTAAATATGTAAATATGCAAATATACAAAGGTAAAACTACATACAAGGGTTGCGCTCTCCTCTACCCTCCCTAGTCAGAGTTTAATGGGGAGTGATTATTTTAGTAAATATCTTGTCAGAACTTCCAAGAGGACGGGCCTTAGCAGTGGTAAAGTTGCTTCTTTGTGGCTAAAAAGTCACATGCTTAAATCAGGAAACAATCTCTTTGCAAATATGTAAGGGTAAAACTGCCTACAAGGATTGTCTTCACCCCACCCTCGCTAATCGAGGTTTAATGAGGAGTGGTTGTTTATCTTATCATAAGTTCCCTTCAGGTAATTATCCCAGAAACCTTAATCCTTGAACAAGGGAGCATAAATGGAAATATGCCATGAATATAAGTTAAAATGAGGCAAAACTATTACAACTATCCACCACATATCACAATAGAGGAATCCATATTAGCATTTGTAACTTGAGGCATCCCAAATCAATGAAACATAAAAGGGGGCATAAAAATCGCAACCAGCTGATTGATGACCCAGTTATATCAAACTTCATACCTTAAATGCAGCAGCATAAGCAGCTTGTAAATTTGACATCCCTTCAAAAGGCATGCGGTTCGTTAGTAGCTCCCACAAAACAATTCCAAAGCTGTAGACATCAACCTTGTTGTTGTAATGCTTTTTCTCCCCTTGACGCAATGTCACGGTACTGTACAACTGCAAAAGCACAAGCTATCATTAAGAAAAGAAATATATCTTCATAAATAAAACCTACCATATAGATATTCAACAAACAATCTCAGTTCAACTTCAAACTAATCAGCCACCTCAAGGATTCTAAGTATGTATTATCGGCCCGATATATGGCAATTTGATAAATATCCCTTTTTCTGATTAGGGAAATGATTCAACTTACTTTACATTTACACCATGTTCCTTCCTTTGAAGAAATTTAAAGAAATGAGATGATAATCAGAATAGAACTTACTCAACTGAAAAAATGAAACAACTATCATCATCCTACTGGTTACAGACTTACAGCTAATATCCACTTGACGCAATGTAGTGATTACACAAATTCTAGGAAGAACTACATGAACTTTATCAGATACTGATAAAATACTTTGTCCATCTTTCTGGCAAACCCCAACACATCTAACTTTAAATATTGCTTGTATATATCTTTTTTACTGGTTTCTAGTGTATTGCATATAAGTTCAGGTCGAAGCAAACCAACGATTTCAAGCTGAGTCTGCCACTCATCCATCTTATATCACATAGGTACAATACATTATTATTTTAAATTAATAGTGATTATGAATTAAGATTATTAAGCATAAAATAAATGCAGTGTTTATTGGACCCTCTGGTGCACATTTTTGGACAGTTGTCAGTGAAACAAAAGAATTATGTTCCCAGAACACAACATACCTCTGGTGCCATCCAACGATAAGTTCCAGTTTCTGCAGTCATCATTTCAGTCACAGATTCTTCTCTAGCCAGACCAAAATCAGCAAGTTTAACTGACTTATGATTTGCCGTAAGCAGCAGATTGTCTGCATTGTGACAATTTGAAAATAATAGTTTGAAAGAATCAGACTATTAATAATAAAATAGACCTACATTTCAAACTAAAACATTAATGTCACAAACTACTATGATTAGCTGTCATAGAGGGCAAAAGTTCCAATCCAGAAATACAAGGTAGTATATATGTTTTAACATGAAGTTAATAGTTTCTTCTTTATTGTTAGAGAATAATATAAATCATTAAAAAGGCTCTCACCCAATACCTTAAGGTTTTGAAGTGGTTCTTTACATGTTATCAAAGCTTAAGTGACCATAAGGTCACGAGTTCGATCCCCCCCCCCCCCCCCCCCCACTTTCAAGTTGAGTTAAATAAGCACAAAGTAAAACCAAAAAAATTTGGGCCTGTGCAATATCCACACTTCAAGCCCAAAGGGCTCTTGCGTGAGGGATATATTAGAGAATAATATAAATCATTAAAAAAACTCTCACCCAACACCTTAAGATTTTGGGTTGAAGTGGTTCTTTACATTTCTGATTTGCACAGAGGATAGCATACAAGTTTCACAAACGTTAAAATTATGAAGAAGAAAATTTGGCCACTAAAAGAAGCATTACAGGACAGCAGCAGCAACCAGATATATTTATCTGGCATGCTGCCAGAACTTAAAGAAATAACGATTTTCAGGTACCGAATCTCCTAAAACACATCCTAATTTCTATTTAAGAAAGGAAACATGTTTTTTTTTTTTTTCTTCAATAAAATATAACGCTGACTTTCAAGTACCAAGAGAAAAAATTTAAAAAAATTCTTCAGTATATGAAGAGATCTATAGACACATAAGGAAGAAAAATAACTAAGGGACAAAATTCACAATGCTCTCCACAACTATTGAACAGAAGGACCAGCAAATAGCACCACATTAAAACAACAAATATTTAAACACAATTCAGCCATTGCAGAATGCAAGATACCAGGTTTCAGATCTCTATGGATGATCCCATTGGCATGTAGCCAATCCATGGCTCGAGCAATGTCAAGGGCGAAGTTTATAGCCACATGAAGGTCCAACAGTTTAGGGCGTATATTGATCAAATATTTTCGCAGCGACATCCCCGGTAACAGCTCTGTAACAATCACCATCAGAGGATCCTTACAAGCTCCAATAAACTGCAAAAAATCAATAAATGCATTATCTTCTATAAGAGGAATCCAATAGTCCTATAGTAGCATAAAGGTCAAAAGACTAAAACATATATACTTCAAACAAGTACATAGATAGGCCTTCAGTGAAACAAATGACTTAACAGATACATATAAGACAATTACAGACATATCCAAAAACAATGGTACTCACCTTAACAAGATTCTCATGGTGGACACGGGACATCATATTAACTTCCCGAGCAAAACGATCTTCAAGGGAAGCTCTTTCTTCTGAAGTGCTCCCACGATGTAGAACTTTAATTGCAACAATCCGATCTCTATACCTGGAAAATTATTAATCTACACCTACATAAACCAGGACTCCAGCTGCCAGCAAACCACTCGGGGTATACACACAATTATACAGTTGAATTGTTGACTCCATAGCAATATTGTCTTTTTTACAGACTTAGACGTGTAAAACCATATCAAACACTAACCTCTCAACAGTGAACAACAATCTGAATACAATAATTCCAGTAGTTTTTGTCATACAATCATGACAAAGACTTAGCTGAGCTTATTGCAGGTTAATACATAACTGTGAAAACTAAATTGTACACAATTATCCCACAACTGCTGGGTCTTACATGCAAGGGAAGTTATCATTTTTAATCTGGTCTTCTGACCAATATGTTCACATGAATTCACAACTCAAAAAATAAAAAAAATAAAAAACTTTCTAAGGCAGACAATACATCCAAGGCTTTGCCACACTGACCTTCCTTCAAAAACTCTTCCATGAGCACCTTCTCCAATCTTTGAACCAATAAACAATAGTTTGGGGTCAACCAAAAGATTGTCATCAATTGTTAGCTGCTGGTTTGCTATTGACCCATTATTGTGCCTCGTTGATTTTGGTTCCAATCCTTCAGAACTGTTTTCCTCATATTCCTTCTCTTCTTCTCCTCCTCCTCCTCCTCCTATGCTCCTCTCACTGCAACTCATGCTGCAACCTTAAACTATAACCCAATTCCTCATTTCAATGGTTACCAAGAACAAGCCAAAAAAAAAATAAAACTTTCTTTAAATCCAACAAAAGACCAACCTCCCCTGAATATTCCTTCCCACATAGATAACACCTCCAAATTTAAAGGAAAAGAAAAATCATCTAACAGTTAAACAATCCCCATCATCCAAATCAATCATGTATTGCCACACCTTCTTCAAAAAACATTAAAAACCCAATCTTTTTTTATTATTTGTGTTCACTAATGCAGCATGTTCCCCTGTTTCAAAACTTGTCAAACCTTTGCTTCACTAAGAAGCTGGCCACCCTTTGAAGTTCACCCAAAGAAACCCATCAAAGAAAGAAAAAAAAATACATGTATTAAAAAAAAATAGGAAAGAAAAGACTGTAACTTACAATAGACGCTAACAAAATTTTCCCAGAAAATTTACATCCAAGAAAAACGCCAAAAACCAAACCTCCAAGTTCATATTTTTAAGCTCTTTTCAAAGACCCCAAGATTCCCACAAAAAAGAAAAAAAAAATGGGGGACAGAATTTGAGTTCACTTTCTCTCTCAAGAAATGGGGTTTATATTTCTTTCCCACTTTCTCTCTCTACCCACCAACTTGGAACTCCGATGAAGAAGACAAGTTTTGGAGTGTCGCTCCGAGAAGAGAGGGTTCCAAAGCATATATTCCAATAAATGCAAATGCAAGTGCTTGATGACTAGTGATGTTTGAGAAGAGAAAAAAAAAAATAAATAAATAAATAATATACATTGTCCAATCAGAAAATAACACAAGTATGACGTCAGCGATTTGGACGTTATTGGTCGAGGGTGCTCTCACGTAGAGACAGATATCAGTATATCACCGTTTTATCGGCTCGGCTTAAACGGCTCTGAGCTATTTATCCACAATATTTTGCCACGTGCCGATATTAAATATATTTCAGACTTCTAGAAATTTGGTGCAGAAGACTTTTGATCTTTTATTTTTTTTAGAGTAAATATCATTTTTAGTTCTAAGTAAATTTCACGATATCCGTTTTAGTCTTTAGTAAATAAAAAGACTTATCGTGGTTCCTAAGAAATTCAAAAAATGGACCCATTTTACTCTGGTTTCTAAGAATATCATTTTTAGGGACTAATATGGATCTTTTTTGAATTTGTAAAGGACCACAATTTCAACTAAATAAGTCCATTTTGAATTTCTTAGGGACCACAATGGGCCTTCTTATTAGCTAGGGACTAAAACGGACATCGTGAAATTTGCTGAGGACCAAAAAAGATATTTACTCTTTTTTTATTAAATGATGAATATTACTAAGAGCTCGTTTACTCGGCCTTTAAAACAAAAAAACAGTTTTTATGTTTGGGTTTTATAAGAGTTATGTTATAGGAAAAGTGATTGTGTTATGTTATAGAGATTCGTTTTACGTGCCGAAGTTTTTTCTTTTGCTGCAGGCCCCACAAAATATTGTATGTGTAGGAAACTTTTTGTGGTCATGTTAAATGATAGATGATAAACCCTTTATGTTTTTACTTATTTTAAGAATTCTTTTTATAAAAGTTATAATTATTTATATTTTTAAAAAATATTTGACTTTTGATATCTGTATTTTTTTAAGCTAAAATTTCCAGCTTCTGAAAAAAAATAGGTTTTTGATTTTTTTTTTGTGACTTCTATTTTCTTTTTAAGAATTCAAACGAACTTATAGTAAAAAGTGCTTTTTTTTTAATAAACCACATGTATCCTTCACAAGGCGGGTCCAGGATTAAGACTTCAAATCCCTTCCAAAGATGCATTGGGGAGAATTGAACACATCATTTCACCCATACCTGCTCAGTTCTTATGCGTCAACTGAGCTACCATCATTTGGTGTGAGAAGTGTTTTTTCTTCTAAAAAAAATAGCTTTTATAGGGAAAAAAAACCCTATCCAAACAGGCCCTAGTTACTAGAAATGGTCGCACTTATATCCCAAAAAAGAAAAAACAGTGATGGTCATACTTTTGTACTTGAAGTCATTTTTTTATACCAACCCTCATTATCTTTTTGAGGTGAGTCATCCAAGAATGATCCACGGGCCTTAAAAAATTACATTGTCCGCTAAGTTTTCTTATTGAAGCAAGCAAATTCGTGAGCAAATATGATTTGCTCGCTTCAAATTCCAGAGTTGTAGCAGACAACAATAATATAATTTCGTATTTTAGACATAACTTCAGTTATACTCGTCCAATGGATGTGATTTTGGTCTCGTTGAAAAGATAAAAGAGAAATCTACAATTTTTATGAAGAACACGATATCCAAATCCATCATCTTGGATACAAAAAATTGGCTGGAAGATAGTTTCAGGGAGATTTTCACTAAATGGTTGCTTCTCATTTATCGTTTTTAATTCCTTCGAACTTAACCATTGCTCCAATACTCCAATTCAAGTCAATTGTCCTACAAAACAGGAAAAAATCATTCAAATGAGTCAATAATTCAAAATCCGTGCTTTTTAGCCAAATAACTCTAAGTTTTCATACTTTTGACTAGATATAAAAGTGATTTTAGTCCTTTGAACATGATAAACTATAAGTTTATGAAGAAATTTAAGGAAAACAAAACTAAAATGGAGAGAGAGAAAGAGAGAGAGAGAGAGAGAGAGAAATGAGTATTTTAGACTTAAAAAATTGGTGAAATTTTTCCACTTCCCGTGGATCCAAGAATACCACCCCTGGTGATATTCTTAGATGACATTTTGCTTCACAAAATAAAATCCCGGGATTCTAATTTTCTTTCACAATCCTTATATTAAGTGTGAATAAATAAGATTTTCAATATTAATTTTTCGAGAATATAAAATTTACCTACTTACCAAAGACTAGAAGTGATTTCGTTTGGTTGTAGTTTAAAAAAAAAAATTATTTATTGTCTATAATTAAGGTATTTTTAGGTAGTATTTAAAATTAAATCTTCAAATATTATGTAAGAAGATGTTTTTTAATAATTATCTTTTTTAAAATTTAAGTTTCGCTTCACACATAATTTTTTTATTTAAATTGATTTAATTCATTTCGAGAATTATCATATTCAAATTAGGGGGAAACTAATATTATGTAACATGATATAAAAATTTTTACTTACTCACACATTGATTTCTACACCAGTATTTTTTATTTTTGTTTTTATTATATGTATGGGACTCACATGATTTTTGTTTGAGTAGGAAAAATACTTTAGATTATGTTACATGATGGTAGGTTTACCCTTCAAATTAAGGGGAAACTCATTTTGGAGGCTGCTCTTCCAATAATATTTTTTTTCACTTTAATACTCGAAATTCGAAATTTTTCAGAAAAACCTCTTTGCTACCTCAAGCAATGATTATTGATTACCTTTTTATCTTTTCGTTATATTAAATGAAGGGTAATACTTCTCTTATGTTGTATAAGAGAAGTACTATCTCATGCTCAAACAAAAAGTAGGAGAGAGAAAAAAGTTAAAGGTGAGAGAGAAAAAAGTTTGTGGGACCCATTTGAAAAATGTGAGTATAGGAGATAATATTTTGTTTATATAACATGAGAAAAGTAATTCCCTTAAATGAATGTTATTTTTTTAAATTTTTGATATATAGATCTAGATAAAGGGGAAAAAAAGTAATAGTAAAAAATTTTTTTTTGGTTAACTTCAATAGTAAAACAGTATTAAGCTTACAACTTGCTAAATTCTATCAATATTTTAAAGTCAATTATAATGTTTTTCACAAAATGTAAAGACTTAATTTTTAGGACACCCCTCTAACTTCTGCAAAAAAATTAAAATATTACTATTTTAATAAATAATTATGGAGCTGTTTTGAAATTATTTATGGATCTATTACACTCATTCATGCCCAAATTAGGCGTGACTATTTACGCTCAAGTTAGGCGTGACTCACAAGGCATTCACGCATAATTTAAACGTAACTCGTCTGGTGTTGACACGTGGCACAGAAAGTCATCTTACGAACCGTAAAACTTTGGAAAGCCATAACTCTTGACTCAAGTATCTAGATCAGGTAAAAAAAAAATTGTTTCCATAAATTTTTTCGAGATTTACGCAATGACACCTCATTTGATATATTTTATCTATCACAAACACAGTTCAAATTTGCAATAATGATATTATAAGAGCGTTTAAACCAAAAGCCTCCGAGTTCGGAGTTTGTGATTTAATATAAAAAATAAATAATGATTTGGTTTGTGATTTAAGTTAAAAAAAATCAAAAAATTTAATATAAAAAATAAATAAAGGTTTGTGATTTAAATTAAAAAATGTAAAAATTTATTATTAATAAGAAAAACAAAATAAAGATTTGATTTATGATTTAAACTCAAAAATCAATATGAAAAATCTGTATTAATAAAGGAAATAATTAAATAAAAATTCTAAATCTCTAAGAAAGAAGGATTAATAAAGGATGTAAAATACGATACGGTTCGTTAAAAGTCATAAAAAAGTTATATATTTTTAAATTGTTTTTTATTATATTTTTGTATCTTACGATTCGATATGATTCACGATACGAAAAATCGGTCAAACGATACATGATACATATTGCGATTCAATAACCTTGTACACTATTTTTTTTTTCAAACACTTGGTAGAAAGTATATATTTAAATATGACATTAAGTATCCTTATTTGTAGATGGACTAATCCACTTTGGTGCCATCTTTAGTTTTAGACCACGACTTAAATGATAAAGTCTCTATTCACAGTGATAAGAATACAACCCAAAGGATAGGGATAGAGAGGTTCTAGTAGGCAGAAGACTGTGTTTGATGCTGATTCGGAAAGAACTCGGAGGCTTCTGGGTTTAAACGCTTGTATAGTATCATTGTTGCAAATTTGAATTGTGTTTGTCAGAGATAAAATATGTCAAATGAGATGTCATTGCGTAGATCTCGAAAAGTTAAGTGGAATAAAAAAAATTATCTGATTCAGATACCCAAGTCAAAAGTTATGGCCTTATGAAGTTTTACGGTTAAATTGTTAACTTTTTGTGCCACGTGTCAACACCATACGAGTTATGCCTAAATTAGGCGTGAATGGTCACGCCCAATTTGGACGTGAATGAGTGCAGTATATTCGTAATTAGGTTCAAAACAACAACTTATTGATAATTATTTATTAAAAAAGTAATATTTTATTTTATTTTACCCTCTAACTACAAATCACATTAAACTACGTGACGGTAAAGTATTCTGGCACAAAACATAAGGGACGTTTATATTTATTGTCATTTTAGTCTTATCACTTGTTTAGTTATCTTTGGATTAACTTGAAATTAATAGTTAAAAAAGGAAAAAAGTAGCTGTCATTGATTTCAAAATATTCCAACGGTAATCAAACAGGTAATAAGAGTAATAAAATTAAAATAGTAATAAGTATAACATTCCCCCAAAATGTATATATACAAAAGTTTTTATATAGATGTTTATAATACTTAAGAAATATATAATACTAAAAAAAAAGTTTATATAGCACTAGTGGACAACAAAATAAGTGATTATATCAGACAGAATCAATGTTATTGAACCCGACTCGATTCGGCCGGTTGATCCAAAAATCAGTGAGCCGGTGACTTAATCGATTCGAGTTAGCCAACGGATCTGTCATGCAACTGACCCAGTGAGAATCATTTTGACTCGGCTGATTTTTGTCAAAACTAGTGACCGA